AGAGTTGCTCATGGTAGATTAGGGGCAAAGCCAGGAATAGAGCCCAGTGCCTCTGTACGGTGGTGTGGCCAATGGTCCACACTACTTCTCCTTTACCACTTACAATGTCTTGAGAACATTTCTATACACATCAGGGCTATGTAAACAATTCTCCTCCCCCATTTCTTTTTACAGACACTGAAATCTGACAGTCATGTTCCCCTGGATCTACCTCATTTTGGCCCAGTATCCCTATGCAGCCTTGCTCCAGCTTCAGCTTTCAGCCTGCTTTTGCTTTGCTGCCCCTGCTTATCAACTTTTGCAAACCATTTGGGTCCATGGTTCCATGCTTGGGGCCAAATGCAGCCCTGGGGTCATTCCCCTTACACTCCTCCTAGGGGTGGAATTTAACCTTGCAGCTTTTAATTCTGCAGCTTCTTTTGGTGTAATGAAGGGAGATACCCACTAGATGGCGCTTGAACCATCTGGCCTGCAGTTCATTTCCCATACAGCCTGGCCTGTTCAATCCACAGCCTAGGTTGAAGAGTGTGATGCAGTTTGGCTTGGTGGGTGAGGGAGGGAAGGTAGGGGACCAGTTTACAGAGTGCTGTGGGCCAAAAAAATCCCCTGCTGATGTCCACAGCGGCTGTTCTCATACAAGAATCCTTTGTCTGGGCCTGCCTGCTGGGCTTGCTGCATGGATGTGGTGCCCCCATTCGTTAGCTTCCTGCGCTTGTGGCTGGAACAAGGGAGTCAGGGGGACAGATGGATCGGATGAGCTGCATCAGGTATCATGTTGTCCCCTGGCGTGTAATGGACAGGGGAATGTAGAGGGAATCCGTGCCCTAAACTAATCCTTGGTTAACCACACACGGCGCCCCCCCTCAGTTGCACTGCTCTGGTATGGCTCCCACAAAGCCGCATCTCTGATGAGGAAGGTGAATTAAGGCATGTTCTCCAGGAGCTGCCTTCCCCAAGACAGTAAGAAATGCAACAGGTGGGTCTCACTGAATATAGCTGGCTCGGCTCGCAGCATCATCTTGGCCTGGCTGTGCAATTGCAATGTTGTATGTCGTATTGTACAGCTACTCTCCATTCCTTAGTCTCCATTCCATCCAGATCCCATCCCAGGGGATGGGGTCTGGTTTTGATGGGTTGTCTCATGTCCTAGGAGCTGAAGCTCACTGTACACTGAAATTGTCTCCAGGTCTGTGACTGGTTATGATGCTGCACCACAGCATGGGGATCTGGGGGTGAAAATGTCACAACGCAGTTAATATGGGGTAAAGTGGTAAAGGTGGTAGTGTTCTGGGGTCCCTGCTATTGCCTTAACTTCACCTCTTTCTCTTGGTATGGACACAGGGAATGTGCTATTTTCACTAATCTTCTGAGTGGTGCTGAGGCCGATCCATGGGTTCTGTTTTACGTCATCATTGTGCATCGTTCACCATTTTGTTGTGTTTTCATTGTGCAGCCAGATGGAACTAAACCCCTTTGACTGAGTTTCACTTTGAGATTTAGCTTTGGTGTGAACCCAATATTCAAAGCAAAACTCCAGGGGTGAGAAACCCACAAGAATCAAAACCAAAGCAAATGCTCATATGAAACCCTGGGAAGTGAAACTACTGAATTCTGCATAGCTCCAGCACTATGATCCTTCATCAAACAACAGGTTAGGTTGCAATCTGGTATAGTGCTTAGAGCATGCAACTTGGAGCCAGGAGACATAGCTTCTGTTCCTGGATCTGCCAGTGATTTCCTCTGTGATCTTCAATAAGTCACTTAACCTCTCTGTCCCTCAGTTTTCTCCTTTGGGGAGGATAATACTACTTACCCACCACTGGAAAATATTTTGCAATCCTTGTGTGAAAGTTACTATGTTCAGATTTTGCAACCCGTACGCGCATTGAGGTGCAACATCCCACAAGCCACTGGGACTGCCTGTGGAAGCATGTGCTTGCCAGCATGAGAAAGTGGTGGGACCACTCATGCAAGTACGAGCCACTCAGTGTGAGTAAGTGTAATTCCCACACCTACCGGGTGTGGTGTTCTGTCCCATGCAGTGGCACCGAGACCACTTAGAGAGAGAAATTAATGAGTTTGCTCTAAGGCCTTTGCAAACAGCCCCATGGCTTTTAGCTCCTGCAATAGAGGCTCATGCACTAAGCTCTAGAGGCCCCAGGTTTGATCCTGCCCGCCAACGACCGGGGTCTCCCGGTGTTATATAAGCACTGCGAGTGAGATGTACTGCTCAGTGTAAGTACGAAGCGGGCTTGCTTGTTTGAGTTTGTGCTAGTCAGCATTAGTAAGGGCTGCAGAATCAGGTCCTGTGTCAATACAAAGTATAATTATTATTGGTCTGTCTCATGTTTCAGGCACAATCACAACCCTTCACGGTCGTTTGCTCTTGCATGCTCTGCCGGCAGCACCAACCCAGGAACCGTGTTAGATTCCACTGGTGCTGGACCTGTCGCTTCGCTTTTGCGGTGGCTACTCTGCACTCCATGGGGTCTATACGGGTTTACACAGAGGCTGCCAGCTGGCAGGTTCTATCTATCACAACCTGCAGGCCTTTTGGAATGGCGCTGTGTTCTAGGTCGTTATTTTATCCCCTCTTCTGCCCTGAAGCAAACAAGTGGTCTCTGGAACGTGCCTGTCCTGGTTCCTGGTCGGAAGTGTGAGCAAGCCTGGCACGGTCCCAGGGGTTGCTCAAATGCAGGAAAGGAGTCAAACCCTGTAGTTTTAGCTGACTGAGGTTTATGGGTCATATTTTACAGCTCATGCTCCTTATTTAGGCAAAGCTCCCATGTCTCCAGTGCCTGAATATGGAGTTAATAAAGGCCTCAGGAACTTGCCCTGTGTGAACTTCTACAGTGACACTCACTAGAACAACGACAACAACATTAGAAGGGCTCTGAATCTTCATGCGCCAGGGCATGTGCTTATTTCCATATGGGGGTCAGGGGTAATTCCTTGCCAACAGGACATAATATCTCACAGCTTTGTGGAGGTTTTATGTTTTCCTCTGGCATTTGGTATTAACCTCTGTTGGAGGCAAGATGCTGGATTAGCTGGACTAATGGTCTGATTTGATATACCAATACCCATGTTCCTGTGTACATGAAACACCTTGATAGAGATATCTAGACAGCCTCCTGATATTTGCTGAGGCATAGTTATAGGGGCTGAGTTTGATTTCACTTTGGTGTAATTTGGGAGTACCTCTTGGAGAGACATAGGGAAAATCCATTGAAAATGAAACAATCAGGCCTGTAGTCTGAGGTAGGTGGAGTACGCTCTGAGTACACTATACCAGATACAAGGGTTGAAGTCCTCCACTCCCAGCACCTTGTAAGGAAGCACCCTTGGAAGACGAAGGGGGTGTCTTCGTGATGCAGGCTCAGGGAGTGTGGGGGCCCTTTAAGAAAAATAGCTTTGCTGACTGGAGCTGAACTCAGTCCTTTTCTTGTGAAGCTAAAACATTCTTTCACTTCTCCACAGCCAGCAGATTATCAGTTCTTGCCTTATCTTGTTACAGGCGCTTTGGCTGAGAACAGAGAATTGACATGTTAACCGCACCGGCCTTCCTGGGGATTCCTACACTAGCTGAGACCTCCTTTTCCCTGGGGCAGGTGGGGCTGAAAGGCTTGGTTGGCTCGAAGGACGGGCAATGGGGCCTTTCACCTATAAACTGATGGTTCAAATTCAGGGTAAACTGGTAGTTACTGAAATAACTTTGGCATTACTGATCCTGATGGCCACATGGTATCCGATGTGAAACGAGCTGGTGGCCACCCATTAGTTCAGAATGGCGAAGGACCACTGGTACCATTGTTGGCAGGGTCGCCAGCAAGGCTGAGAAGCGTATGGCTCCTGGAGCCTGCATAACCCCCTTACTCACAGAGGGGGTCGCTGCAGACACATTGGCACCATGGTGTGGGGGAAGTTTTTGCTGTTACTGCACCTGCGCTGCAGAGAGAAGAGTTGTCTCCAATGCTGAAATTGTAGTACCTTTCCCAAAAGGGCCTGGATGACTGAGGGGTGAGATAGGGAACCTTTCAGTGTTAGGTCATGGGTTTGAATCTGACTTGGATGGACAGATTCCAGGAGGTCAGTTCATGTGGCCCACTCCCTCCTTCTCCTGTGTGAGCAGAGTGCTAACAAGGGTGCCCTATAGTGATGGATACACCTGCCCACTGGACAGAGACCACTCAGTGCCCATTAGTTAATAAGGACTTTCTGTCACTGCTGCTATGTGGGTGGATTCAAACCAGTGGTGAAAGGCTCCCGTTACTGATTCCTAAAGCCATCCCGTCCATGAGCAGATGACACCCTTGCCTCCCAGTATTCTGGTAGGTGGGCTCACCCCTGCCCAACCTCACTGCCTTGTAGTTCCAATCTCCCTACTCCCAGAATAGGCCCTGCTAGAAAAGGAAAGCCAGACATTCTGTGTGCACTGAGGGGGTTCAGGGAGCTGATGGGCTTCCTGGATTTCAGCTCCCCCCCTCTTTGTCAGTTTTTGCCACAGGACAACACAGGCAGCAATATGATCCTGTATAGCAGGATCAGATTGTGTATGAGAGAGGAGGGCAAGGCTAGGAGAAACCCACCTTGATTTTTTTTTGTTTTAATAAGAAACACTTCCTTCTGCTACATAGCGAGTGATCTCTCTTGAAACCCCCCTGTAGAAATTCCCCTTCCAAGGTTTATAGCGTGGGGGGGGGGGGGGGGGAGGGAGACCTGTTATCCTGCCACTCCAGGACCCACAAAGTGGTTTGGGGGAGGGGGTGGCTCTCTGCCCCCTTCGATTTCCCTTTAAATGGAAGCCCTGCCCACTGAAATTGACACAGTCCTCCTTGGCTGGCCAATGAGAGCCTTGGCTGGGTGTTCTGTTTGTTACAAGTTTCACATTGCTGGAAGACACAGAGACTGAGAGAGAGAAACAGAGAGTCAGTGTGTGTGTGAGGGAGCGTGGATGAGGGGGGGAAGAGAGCGAAGAGGGGCGCGACAGAGAAAGAGAGAGAGAGAGGGAGGATGCCTGTTTGGAGCAGCAGGCATCAAGGAGAGAGAGAGATGGCATATTAGACCATTACCATGAGCAGAGCCCAGGGCCTCTGCTAAACAGCTTTTCCATTTCTTAATAAAAACATATTCCACCAAATGTCTCCTGTCCCTTGCAGAGCCCTGCCAGCTGGTACCTTCACTCCTTCTGCAGCCTGTAGAAAGAAGAGAAGTTTAATTTTTTTTAAGTGTTGAAAAGGGATTTTTTTTTAAGTGAGGGCCAAAAGACCGAGAGTGGTGGTGGAGGAGGAAGGGGAGGGGCAGTGCTGAAATCAGGGTAGCTGAAGCTTGGCCGCCTTTAGGAGGTCTGTGTACCTGGGGGGCTGCTTGAATGCAAGCTATTCTGAGCGCCTCCCAGCAAAGCTGCAGCAGCAACAGCTCAGCAGATGTAGATGTGTGCGGGTGTGCATGCTTAACCCTTTCTTCGCTCCCTGGATTTATACCATGCTGAAGATCCTAACCAAAAAGCTCAGGGACCAGAGTTTGAATGAGATCCAGCCTTTCCAGCTAAAGGTAAGAAAAGCTCCCAGCATGTCTTTATTTTATTTGTTTTTTTGGCATGGTGCAGCTAATTAATAAGAGGGATAATAAAGCTATTAACTTTCAGCATTCTGTGTCCTGGGTCAGTTGCCTTTCACCCTGCTCAGAGTGCCAGTCAGGGTTGGAATTGGCCTGTACTGCATTAATGTTATTAAGACCTATTCCTTTGAATGCAGGCCTGCCTTTTTGCTAAGGCAGGATATAATATAGAAGGGGTGTGTGGTGGAAAAACATATATATTGGTCTTTTAGCCTAGTAATATTTTTAATAAGGTGCATGTTTGAGTGCCGAGAGAGTTGCCTAGCAGAGGGGTGTGTGTGTGTATCTATATCTATCTATGTATCTAAAATCACACCTCTTTGATGTTGCAGTAGCACCTAGAGATCTCAGCCAGGTTGGAGTTCCATTGTGGTAGGCACTGTGTAAACATAACTAGTCTGAGCTCCATTCTCTTCAATATTTTTGCAGTTCTCTTTCTCCTGGATCTGAAGGCCAGAATCAGACCTGGAGTTTGCAGCCTGGCTCACTTCACTGACCTAAGGCTTTCTGTACCTTGCTTATATCCCTATTTAGTTTGTACAGGAAAGCTAGGGACTGCAAACTCAGGACAATGTATATCTGAGCCTCCTCTGCAAAAGGCAAGGAGGAATTTATCCACCATATGTTGGGAAATAAAAATGGAGCCAGGGTGAGAGGAATACAAAAAGTGCCAGGTTCTGGTTTGGGACACTGGGCGGTGAATCTGGAGTAATCCCACTGAAATCAGGGAAGTTTCACTGGATTTGCATTGGTGTCATTAAGAGCAGAATCTGGCCCCAAATCAAAGAAGGGACCAGGGAAAAGTAGCAGCCTTTATTGCCTGGTTTGGGGGGTGGGGGTGCTATGCAGCGGTCTCCAGTGGAGTCTTTTGTATGCATTACACAGGGACAGATTGTAGTATGCATCTGTGCTCCTGCATAGTTCCTCTGGCTAGATTGGTGGCAACTTTTTGAGAAATGGGGCTGATATTTCCTCCACGTTCTGTGTCCCGTTCACTTCTTCCAGTTTGGCTTGTGGATTCTGTTGGTTTTGAGGGGGGTGAGGAGAGGGAGTTGTTTGGAGGCAATAGGGACATTACTTTAGATTGTGGCAGATTGATCCCGTGCAGGACAGGCTTTGTGCGTGGGCAGTGCGCAGGACTATTTCTTTGGGCCTTGTGTGGCTCTAGCCACCTTTTGTTTTAATTTTCTTTCTGAATCTTGAATTCCGAAACCTGCAAGGTTTCTGAGGCTGCAGATGAGACATTGAGAACCAATAGGGCCCCATAGGCTTTCAGGATGCACAAACTAGCTATAAGGCATCAGCCATTTTATTCACACAAGTGCCAAGGTTCTGCGGCACAAACAAGCAAGTTGCATTTTTGAAGGCCTATGGATACAGCCTTTAGATCTCCGTGTCTCCAAAGCCTGACACTTAGGCCTGTGCAAGTGTCATTGCAACCTGCCGGAGTTGCTCGTACAATGACTGGCACAAACATGCGTGGGCACGAAGCCAGAGTTTCCACACTCTGGACTTAATGGCCACTGGGGACAATGTGGAGCTGAACCACTGTGGGGAGCTCTGGGTGGGGTTTTACCTCAGGCTAGCATCCCTTCCTCACTACTTCATGGAGTACACAATACTATCCCTTGTGTGTCTGGCCAGATCTTCTAGCTGCTGTTGACCTGGGGAAGGTACCGGGGACACGTGGAGTCCCTGTGCTTTGGAGAGTTGTGCCTGGTGTCTGGGGCCTGCCCGAATCCCCCACCCGCTCCCTTACACACTCCGGGAGCAGCTGGTCACAAACGGGCCCTCTGAGCTCCACATTCTTGGAGCACACGTCAGCATCTCCTCAGCTTCCCAATTTGCACATTTTGCTGCGTGCATGATGCATGTATTCTTGGGTTACAATTATTCGCCCAAGGCTGTTTCGAAAGTCTAAGGGGCCAGTCCTGCAGGCAGTGAAGTCAGTGGGAGTTTTGCCATGAATGGGAGTAAGATCAGGTCTATGGTTGTCAGACTAAGGATGAGTGAATCACTTTGGATAAAATAAGACCTGACCTCCAGCCAAAACCCAAACCGAGCAATTTTTTTGTTTTTTTGTTTTTTTTTAAATCTGGTTAGCTGATTCCACCCACATTGTCATGAGTTTCTGCAATTCACATGCTTGCTGGAAGTTCCTAATACCATGGAACAGACTGTTCTTACATTTCTAGCGCTACGGGAAGCAGGCAGTATTGAAATCTTGCAACTGAGACTGTTCTTCAGTGGATTTCCAGCCCAATTTTGCAGACTCAAGAAGTTTGGAAAGATTTTTAGATTGGTACTCAAACTTTTGGATGCTTCTCAGAGTAGAGCCCCTGAACATTTTGTGGATCTAACTAATGGTACTGCATGTAATAAATGGGCTTAGTGTGTTTGGTCATGTTCCTTTAGTGGCTGGCCTCATTGAGAATAAGAACCTGCTACCATAGCAGCTGATGGAATTACTACTCTAGCTCATGCAGGCGCTGCTTGTGCTGTCAGTGCTGAGGCCCTGGGTTCTATTTCTACTAAGGATGGTGTCTTTACGCATGTGGCCATACGTTCCTTACACTGAGCTGTCCCATACAGCTTCACCTGTTGCCTCTGTCATCTGATCATATTTGCTAGAGAGGAGGCCCAACTTGAAACCTGAAATACAAAACCCTCCAAACCTTGGTGGAGTGTTAAAAATCTAGAGGCAAAGCCAGATCTGAATTTTACAGTTTGGGACCCATCTTCTGTAACAACTGGCAGCTGTAGAACAGACTCTGTAGGGCGGGGCGGGTGTCTGAGGGAATGAGAAAGGGAGTTTAAATTTGTGAGCAACATTCTGTTGAAATTTTCCAAGTGAGGGAGTAAGAGAGAACCATACCCCTCCAAGAGTCCTGCTTTTTAGCTGGGCCTCAACCAGACCTCCAAAATTGAACCCCTGAAGCAGGTAGTTAGACATCCAAATGAGTGCCGTTATTTGTACCCCCACGTGACACACTGGCAAATGATTCCCTGTTCTTTGCTAACAACTCTCATCTCAGACCTGACAAACTCACTACATCAAGTACATTGCTTACAGGGTATTTATCCATAAAGAGTAACATGTAAGGTCTCTGTTGAAAGCTTGCAACTTAACGACATTCATAATCATAGTTTTATGTGTGTACGTGTGGTATGTAAGGAATAATGTAATTATATTGAAGTTTATGCCCTTGTGGTCTTAAGGTTAAAAGGCGTCACCAGGGAATGATATTACTCGGTGACAGCCTGTTCATGCAGGAAGGAGTTGCCACTCCTCCCTAGTTAGCTGGTAAGGTAATGCCAGGCTCAGTGGTCTACTATTGCCCCATCCCAGAACAGTCAATGGAAAAACATCAAAGGCAACTGCAAACAGTCAAAGCCACTTGGAGGTAAAAAAGGACCATTACAACAGACAAGGGGATTGCCCTGCCTATGAATAGAGACAAATGAGTGTTTCAATATAACACAGAGGGAGGAGAGGCACTCTGGATCCGTTCACTGAGGAGACATCTTGTTGAGCTGGGGTGTTTTCATGTACGTTTGAATCCTGGTTCCTGTGGAACCAGCCAGCTCTGCAACAGACTGAACTTTGGGGGGAAAGTCTAGTGTATTAGATAGGAAAGGTAACTATTAATACGTATAGGCGCTAGTTGGTGTTTTCTGATTTTGTTTTGTATTGTAACCATTTGTTTCCATCACTCTCTCTTGTTTCTAGGGGAATCGCTATGTTTTCTTAAATAAAACCTTCCTTTGTTTCATTAAAAGTGCTGTATATTATTACGAGTGGTGGTTTAAGGGAAACGTAATAAACTGGGGCACAGAGGATCTGGGATTTCTGTGAGTAGCCAGTGTCGGGGGCTGGGAGTCACAGGGAAATGTTTCAAAGGGACTTGGTGACTGGGGTGCACTTCTTGTTAATCTGCAGGGCAAAGGGGGGGCTGTCTTTAGCCCAGAGGAGAGTGTTTAAATGGTTAATAAGCTGGTGGTATTAGGGAGCTAATACCCAGTTACTACTGTCAGGGTAAGCCTACCACTCACTAGAAGCAGAAGATGATAAGGTAACTCACAGTCCTGGGTATACAGAGAACCATCACACTCCAGTTTTGGGCTGGCTGCATTGGAGACCACTTCTGGAAGAACTAGGCCTAACCATAGAAGGCCAGTTTTCAAAAATATGCCATGAAGTTGTACCTAGGTACATGGGATAAATAAGATACAGGTAACTGAGTGTGCAAAAATATACAACGATAGGAACAAAATGGCTAATTGTGTGTGTCCAAACGAGTTTGCATGTGCAACTGTAGCACTCTTTTTACTCTCACAAATCACACAGATGCATTTTTTTCCATCCACGATTAACTGTTTGCACCACTGCATGCATATGTAGTTGGTGCAATTTACGAGTCTAGTTTTTAAGCCTAGATTTCAAGCTCTTCGGGGCAGGGACTGGGTGTTCATTGCATGTCTATAGAATGCCTGTCAAACTAGGGCCTTGAGTGGTGCGCCTCCGTGCTACTGCAGTGCAAATAATCAATGATAGATTGAAATACCTAGCCCAAGGTGCACAAAATTAATAGCCTTGATGCATCTATCACAAGTTCTAGCCAATTACTTTTTATTGACACCATGACAGCAGTGAATAACTTTATTGACAACACAGTAATTGTTGAATTACTGTAACATCAACACACTTCTTATTATTTTAATCCAGAAATATTATTGAAATGATTCTGTATCTGGAATACTAATTCTGTACTGGCTTGAAGCGCTATTTTCTGGTTAAGGGAACGAGAAGGGTGCTTACTTTTTAGCCCATGAAAGGAAGGCAAATGCTGTTCTCATCTGAGTCTCGTAACAGAGAACAGCCTCTCACGGCTGCTCAGTGCATACAGCAATATGGTCTAGTCAGTAGAGAAGTC